ATAAAATTCTTGTTAAGTATTTTAATCTAATAAAAAAAATTTCAACTATCATTTGTATAGTATATTAAATTTTTATCTAAAATTTATATTGTAAAAATCAAAAAAATTAAATGAAGTTTACTAAAAATAAACAAAAAAATATAAAAAAAATTAATACACTTTTAATTTATACCATTATAATAAAATTAAAATAATCAATTATATAAATGAATGAATCCCCGATATTAGATGAGAGAGCCCTTAACTGCAAAACACCTTTTTTTAATTAATTACAAAAATATAACATTTATTGAATCCTAGCTTAAGGTTAGAGAAACTCTGAAACTAATGTGATTTTAAAGACAAACTCCTGATATTAACCTGCTCCATGGAGTGCCATTATTGAAGTTGAGTTTCCTTAATTCGTCATCATCATCATCGGTGATCACCGCCACACCATTACACCGCCGGTTGAATCACGACCGCACACGTCAGTAAAAGCCCCACAGACAACGGAGTGGGACCCCGTTCTTACGCACGGGACGGCACCAAAACGTTGTAACCAAGAAGGGGGGCTTCCAAAAACTAAAACCCCAAACCGCAACACTTCGATCCGCCACCCTTTAAATTCTTAAATCTCCACAGATTGGTCCTTCTCTCTCTCTCTCTCTTCTCCTTCCTCTGTTTTTTCTCTCTCTTCCGGCGGCCTCCTCCGTTCTAAACTATTTTTTCAGGGAGAGAAAATCAGAGGAGGGGAATTGAATTCACCGTGATTCAGATCGGATCAAGTCAAGATGCAGACTTCCAGCTCCCCTGATCTGAGTCCACAACAGCAACCGTCGCAACAGCAGCAAAACCAGCCTCCCCATCATCCTCAGCAGCCTTTACAGCGGCATCCGCAGCCGTGGGTGGCGCAGCAGTGGGTGGGGGCTATGCAGTATCCCGCGGCGGCTATGGTGATGATGCAGCAACAGATGATGATGTACCCGCATCATTACATGGCTTACAATCAGCACTACCAGTATCAGCAGTATCAACAGAAGCAGCAACAGCAACAGCAGTTCTCGCAGAAGCAGCAGGGATCTACAGACGAGGTTAAAACGATCTGGGTCGGTGACCTTCTTCATTGGATGGACGAGGCTTATCTTCACAGCTGTTTCTCTCACACTGGCGAGGTCAGCTATGCAGAAACGTATCATAGATTCATTTATCCCTTTATATGTCTTATATATCTAAGTTGATGTTCTTTTATTTTTATTTTTTTTCATTACCACGTGAATTGTTGTGCATCTTAATTTGATTTATTTTTATTTGGGTTGTTAAAAGGAATTATGTTTTTTTTGTACTTGCTGCTGTAATTTTTCTATTTTCGGCTGAAGGAGATATGGAGTATTTGTATCTTTTGTGGGCTTTAAGAAGCAATCAAAACTATGATTTTTACCCTTTATGTTGACAAAAAGGAACTACTAGTTTTAGAAGATTGTTAGTTGTATAATTTGAAGTGCATTATGATTAAATTTTTAACAGTATGTCATTGATGATCTGAATATTCTGTTTGCTGTTTTGGTTCATTTGTAGGATTTAAGGACATTAGTGTTATGGCATCAGGTGGATAAAAGTATTATGGAATTTGTTATTTTAATTAAGTTTAGATGATTGATAATTTTTTTTTTTTTTTGAACTTCTGAAAAAGGGCTTTCAAATTTCAGTCTAGTATGTTTGGGGCAAAAAAGAAAAAAAATTCTGATGATTTGAGCCTCAAAGATTATTTAGGATTTAGGTATTAAATATAAAATTCAATAATATGTTTGTTTTATGCAAGGACTATTGATTGTAAGTTGCTTCTGGTTTATGGTCATGAATTTATATGAATTTTTCCCAAATGATTTCTAGCAACACCAACATTACATATTGCTGTTGCACTAGTTGTTGTTGTTGTTATTTATTTTATTTTTTTTTTTTTTTTTTTTTTGAGCTAACTCGTTGTTAATCAATCATGAGTTAGACTCCTATTTATTAGTAACAACAGTTTCACTTTTGTTGCCTCTTAAATTATTTGAAGCTAATTTTTTTATCATCCTTCAGGAGTGGGGGACCTCATTTTTTTTTTTTCAGTACATTCTAATTATGATCAATTTATTAATATATGAGCTTCTCAACTTTTCTCAATTAAGCCAGGATCTAATTAGTTGAGTCACTTCCATGATCTGTTTGTCTGATATCAAGTTTTGTATTCTCTTGAAGATTCGGTTTCTTACCACAACTAACTGAAGTTTTTCCTATGTCTGCCTATATTTGATCCCTTAGAAAGCACTCTTATTTGCAAGTTACCTGTTGGGGATAAAGCCATTCTGTAACTCTCATTATTATCTTAATCTTTTAGGCCACATGGTTCTTCACGTGTGTTAGTAGAGCCACTTGACCTAGTGTTACACACTTAAAATTTCTATGAGTCTCATCTTTTTCTTGTTTATAATTAAGTTAAACAATGAACAAGATGTCTGAACTTCCTTGCAAAGCTTCAAGAACTTGCAAGTAATGTAGCATCTTAGAGATTGAAACCACTTCTTGAGCCCCCAGCTGTTCAATTTTGTTGGTAAAGAATTCTTGACATAAGTCACATAACCCAATCACTTAAGGTAGGATCTTAATTTGTATACAAGTAGTGCATCCTTGACTTTTGAATGATCTTCTTTTGTTCTTGTCATTTATTATGCTATCTCATCATTGTTACGTCCTCATTTAGCTACATTCATATCATGAGCATATTATCTTTTAAGTGTTCAAAAGTCAAAGTAATCATGCAATGGTAAGCCAAATGGTATCTTACCATTGCACGATATCCTTGTAGAATAAGAAAATCTGAATTTTGAATGAAATTCTTGTCAAGTTCTTCCTTGGATAATTAAGCCTAACAGCTAAAACAACTGCTTTTAGTAACTGTTCAACCATCAAAATTTGAAACCTCATCTCGGTTTTTGGATTCACCAAAATTAATTCCATTTTTCTCTTTATAGTTCTCTTTCACGTAAAAGGCTAAAACTATTTGATTATAAAGTTCTCCATCTTTCTATTTTACTCCTAACATCTTGTTGTGGGACAGGTTAGTGGTCTGGTGGGCTTTAGGATTCAGGACTCGTTTGAAGGTAGTTTAGGCTGTGAATAGTGTGCGTGAACAATAAAAGGACGTTAGGAATATAGTTTAGAAGAGAGGGAAGAATAAAGAACCCTAGGAATCATACCTAAGCACCCTTAGGAATTACACCTAAGGTTTGATTGCTTCACACAATCAAGAGCAAAACTTGCTGGAATTTTTTTTTTTTTTAATTGGCACTAGAAAATTCTGAATATTAGTAATTGAATGTCTAAAGAAACTACAAGCATGTCTATTTATAGGAACTACTAACTCCTAATAGAACTCTTATTTAGAAGTCCTAATCCAACTAGGAATTGACAAAAATTAAAATAACTTAAAAAATAATAAAAGACAACCACTAGTAAAAGACTTAATTAAGCTCCCAGCTAAGCTTCTCATCATTGGCCGCATGCCAAACTAAAGCATGGGCTTTAGAGCCAACTTTCGCCCACCTTTTGTAAACCTTTGGGGGTTGCTGTCAGCATGCCTCATTGCATCTGCTTGATAATTTCATACAGTGTTGTCAAAAGCGATTGCTTCATTGCTTAAAGTGATGAAGCGAAGCGATCAAAGCACCACCGCTTCAAAATTTCTAAAGCACTCTACTTAAAAGAAGCGGTCCCAAAGCGATTGAAGCGAAGTGAAGTGATAAAAGCGCTTTGATGTTGAAGCGACCGCTTCTTTAAAATGACACGAAATGACAAAAAAGTATAGAAGCATTAAGGGTTTAAATTGGAACTTTGACTCCAATTAGGGCAAAAACAAGAAGCTCTCTGCTTGCTGACTACCTCTTGCCCTAATTTTCTTTGTGATTACATTGTCTTTTGAGTTCATCATCTTCCTGAGACCTAACTTCATCAATTCATCTGCCATTTACAAGAAAGTCCCTTCTTGTTTTTTATTTTTTTAATTTGCATATTCTCCTTCCCGTCTCTTCTTCTTCCCTAACTTCATCCTCTTCCCTAACTTTTTGACATATTCTCTTCTTTCTTTCTTTCTTTTCTTCTTCTT